GGGGCCCTGCGGGGAGGCCCAAGCATCCTTTGGGGCCCGGCAGCTGGGGCTGGGCCTGGGGCCTGGCCGGCCCCCTCCCGGCGCGGGAGCACGTGGTCTCGCGAGGGGCTTGCCTGCCCTCCCAGGAGCAGGGGCCGCGGGGCCGCGGGGTCCCCACCGGGGCCTGCGGGGCTGGCTGGAATGCCGGGGGCAGTAGGCCCCCCTATTCCCCTGGGGATGGGGAGCCCCAGGCCTGGGCCACGTTTTCCCCCGGGGCCCAGCGGCCCCTGAGAGCTGAGTGTGTGTTTGGGGGCTTCCCCAGCAGGATCCCTTGGGATCCCGGCCAGGATGCTTCCAAAGCACCCCTAAACTTTTTACTGCCTCCTGTGCCTCAGGCCAGCAGGGAGGTGCTTTTCAAGGGTTGGGGAGCGGCCAGTGTCCCCCTGCCTCTCTTCTGCCCTGGTGGGGGCTGTGTGCTGAGCTGGCTGGGGCCCTGGGGGCTTCCTCCCACTCGGGCCCCAGGAAGCCCCGCCCCCCCACCTTTGGGCCATGCCCCACTTTGTGAGGAGGGACCTCTGAGACTGTGCCCCTGGGTTTCCACGGGGTTCCAAACTGGTCCTCAGTTGGCTTCTCCGCAGGGAGGTGAGGTGCCCTTGTTGTCCCCCCATCTCGTGGATGTTCACCCTCTCTGAGACTGGCAGACGCTCACTTGCCCACCTTTGGCCTCGCTTTCCAAGGCACCTCTGTCTCCAGCCTGCCCCTCACGGGCCAGCTCACCCCTGGGTGTCTGGGACGCACCTCTCCAGCCAGCCAGGCCTGTTTTGGAGCCGGGCCCCCATCTGTGCAGCGGGTCTTCAAGGCACCTGCCTTCCGGCTGCCTCCCGCCCCTCTCCGCCCGCTCAGGCTCAGAGGTGGGCGCTGGAACGGGGCCTGCACTCCACTTAGCAGCAGGCCTCTGGGGAAACGGAGCAGGCGGGGTGCAGAGGCCCTGCAAAGGAGGAGCCTGTGCATCTCCCACCTGGGGGAGGCAGAGTGTCACCACACCCTAGGGAAGGCCCGGTCACTGCTGCCCTTTACCCCCAGGGGGCGACTCACCTTCCTCCGCCCCCAGCCCCTCTGCACGCCCCCCAGCTGCCGCCCCCCAGCTGCCGTGGCTCGGGGCTCCTACAGCTGCACTTCCCGATGCCATCCCCCCATGCAGCCCCCGGGACCACCGTCGTGCTGCACAGACTCTCTCTTGCCTTCTGTGAGGCCCCCACGACTCCTGACGGGGACAAGGCCCTGCTGCCCCCTTGAGGTCACCAGTTAGAAGCCCCTCTCACAGGCATGGTCGTACCCTCCCACCCCGTCTGGCCCTGAGCGTTGAATAAATGAAGGAGGCCGAGGGAGAGGCAGGGTGGGGGCTGGAGCCATGGCGCCTCTGGCCCTGCCCAGGCACTCCTGCCAGCCTCTGCCTCGTGGGGCCTCCCCGGTGCCTGCTTGTTGGGATTGGCCCTTCCCCACCCTTCCCAGGCTGTGGGCCCCCAGACCCCGACTCGGGCTCTCCCCTTGCATGTGAGACTTAGCTTCTAGGTCTTCTACCTGGCTGAGAACTCAGCAGGGGCTCGGCCACCCCCAGACCTTCCCTATGGACAAGGCTGTCTGCCCTGCCGTGACTCCTGGGGAGGCCTGGCTGGTCTCGAGGCTGCGTGTGCCCCTCTTAGGGTGTCATGGGATCCCCTCCAAGGCCCTCGGTTTCGAGTGGCGCTCCACAGGTGTGACCACAGGCTCCACTCCGAGCTCCTTGTCGGTCCCTGCGGAAGAAACTGTATTTAGCCCTGATTTTGGTTCCTGAAAGGAGCCCCCGAGGAGCCACCCCTGGGTCCTGGCAGGGCTGGTGGCACAGTAGGTAGGGTGTTGACAGGTCAGCATCCTTTTCCCAGGTGCTGCTTGCTTGGGGAGGGGGCATCTGGAAGACGGGCCCCTCTGTCCCTGAGTGGATTGTACCTTGGGGGGCACTGCAGGGACAGAGTCTGGGAAGGGACCCCCATTGTCTCCACTCAGGACCCTAAGAACAGAGCCTTTTCCAAAGGTGCCTGATTCTGCAAGCATAGTACAGGATACCAGCTAAATTTGAATTTCAGGTAAACAATTTCTTAGCGTAAGTATGTCCCAAATACTGCATGGGACACACTGATGCTAGGAAATTCTTTACAGAAATGTGGAGTTCTCTGGACGTCCTGCACTTCACCTGGCGGGGTGTCGAGGCCCTGCCAGGTGTCTGGGCGGGGTGAAGGCATGGCTGCGGCTTGACGCCAGCTGACCAGCTGGGTAGTGTGGGTCAGCCTGGGAGGGGACAGATCCTGGCTCTTCCCAGGGAAGTGACCTGGCCATGGACAGAGGCCTTCTGTCGGAGGCTGCGAGTGTGGCAGGCAGGTGGGCGGGGCCTGGACACGGGTGGCAGGGTCAGGGTCAGGATCTGTGAACTCTGCCCCTCGGGGCCTGTGCTCCAGAGTGCCGGGTAGGCTCCTGGAACCAGCCGCGGCTGAGGGCTGCTTCTCTGCACACCTGCCCAGGTGCCTGGTGGCGTGTCAGCCGCCCTGCAGTGTTGTCATGTGGCTGACAGGCTCTGACTGTTTCCCACAGGTTTTTTTTTTTTCTTTCACTGCAAGAAGTTAACACCCATTCTTTTGGATAGTTTGCTTTTTTAAAAATACACTTTAAAAAAGCAACAGGAACACACCTGCCCCCGGGCAGCCTGCCCTCCCCACATCATCGGTTTTGTGCCCGGCTGCTTTCATTACGTCAGTACGCTGCCCCGCGATCAGAAATGCTGCTTTCAGTTTTAAACTTCTTTTATTTTAAGCTTTTGACCAGGTCAGACAATCACAGGCGTGGGTCTCCAGCTTATGAATGGTCTTCAGGGACGTGCTGGCCAAGGAGTCTGAGCTGCCCTCAGGGGTTGGGCCCCCTTGTGGCTCTGAGAGAAAAGTTTGCCCATTCAGCTCTTGGATTAAAAAAAAGCAGCTGCTGATCAGGGTTGGAGCAAATCCCTCATGCCCGAGCCCCGCCGAGCGGGACCTTGGGGTCTGGGCACCCCTGCGTGTCTGCAGTGCCTTCCTGGAGGCTGGCTCAGAGGAGGGCATCCAGACACGTGGACGTGGGTGCCGGGCACGCCAGGCCTGGAGGCGAGCGCCCTGAGTCAGGGAGACAGGGCTCCTTCCGGGCTGCCTCCAGCTGAAGTGAGAGTGCGCCCACCCGGATTCCGGGTGGGTCCTGCCAGTCTGTTGCCCCGAGTTCCCCAGAGGAACCACCCTGAGGCCCCTGCCCAGGCCCCCTGGCCCCCCCATGTGCCTTCTCTCAGGAGTTCAGGCTCTATAGTGTGTCCTGTTCATATACCCAGGGCCTCGCTCTCCCCACCAGTCTGTCCTCAGGGCAGCGGGGGTGGGGGACACACAGCTCATGATAGCGCACAACCTTTCTGGGCTCCCTTGGGGGGCCTGGTGGGCGGGGCTGCTCAGACGCTCTCAGGAGCCTGGCCACCCCTGCCCATACCCGTCCTTCGAGTCCCTCCTGCACTTGGTGGCCTCAGGACCCCACGGGACACCACGTGCCCCCCGCATGCTCCCGGGGCCTCACTTCTCCTGGTTGGACGTCCGTGCCCTGGGCACTCTGGGCCCCGCCCTGACCGCCTTCTGGCACCTGCCTTAGGAGGTGACCCCCCTAGAGTGGATCGGATCTGCTCGCGTCTCCTGCCTAACGCTGCTTAGAGGCGTCATGCTGTGCATGGTCAAGTCTGAGCCCCTTGGCGGGCCTGTAATCCGGCCCCGCCCCTCCTGGCACCTCTGGGCTCTACTTCGCCCTCTGCCTGGTGGCCCCAGGCTGCCCTTCACAGCCCCCCAGTGTCACTCTCATGAGTGTGTACTGGCTGGCCTCAGAACCCCAAGGTCAAGGCCCAGGTTCCTCTGGGTGATGAGGGGCCGTTTGCCATGGGAGTGAGGTGCACAGAGGGCAGCACCTCCCAGCAGGGTGGGGGTGTGAGGCCAGTGGGCTCCTGGACAGTCTGTCAGTGCCAGGCGGGGTGGGCTCTTGGGGTGCTGTGGGGTGGGGCTCCCCTGGGGGGCATCTCTCCTGTGGCCACACGAGGGGACCAGAGTCAGCACAGGGCTTGGGCAGTGGTCAGTCGGGAGCTGGATGTGTTCCTATTGGAAGTGGTGGCGTGGGCGCAGCAGTGGGCACCAGCAGTGCCTTCAGAGAAGAGCAAGAGGTGGCAGGAGATGGCGTCTGGGCAGGGACCCTTCTGTCCCTGCATCCAGCAGATGTGTCCAGAGAACGGGGTCGCTCGGGTCCCGGCACCGTATGACTGAACATGAGCTGCTGTCTGCGCTCCAGCCCCTCACTGCAGACGAGTGTCCCTCTCCTGGCCTGCTTAGTGCCACATTTTTCGTATTTTTGTTTGCGATTGCGCTCTTTAAAATGGCCCCGTGTAGGCCTCAGAGTGTAGGCTGAGGTACCCTCAGTGTCCTGTGTGCGGGGGGCTGGAACGTGCCTGCTGGAGCCGACCCACATGTTAGCCGATCCCTGAGGCCTGAGCCCCCGGCCTGCTGGTCCTGAACTCAGTGTCCACAACTCAGCCACATGCACCGAACTAGGAGCATCTACTGGGAGCACACGGCGCAGGTCCCCGAGTTGGTGGGCTGATGAGAATGTGTGACCAGGGGCTGGCAGCACCCTCAGCCCCTGTCCCCCAGGAGCAGTGGTTCCTGCTCGCTAAGTCCGTGTTTGTGGTGAGTCTGTAGACATAACTGCTGTGAGTGACAGGACTGGACTATGTGTGTGTCACATTTAAAGTCAGGTTTATTGAAGTGGACTCTGCACATGTGACACTCAGTTGTCACAGTTCCCTGATGCTAACAGGTGTGCACAGCGGTGTGGGCACCACCGACCCTCAGGACAGCCCACAGTTCAGTCCCCCCATCCCCCAGCTCCCGGCTACCACTGACCTGTTCTTGCTCCTTTTAGAGAATGTTGTAGAAATGCATCCTTTGGAGTCCGGCTTTCTTTCTTTCTTTCTTTTTTTTTTTAAAGATTTTATTGGGGAATTGGGGTTCAACTCAATCATGGCTGTTCAACTTGAGGTGTTGTGTTCAATCTTCATTGTGTGTGGGGGGTAGCCCACCATCCCAATCGGGAGTTGAACCAGCAGCCTTGTGGTTAGGAGCACGCGCTCTCACCATCTGAGCCCTCCTGCCACCTGTTGGCAGCTCGGCATCAGCTCAGCTCAGGCACAGCTCACTGGCCCATGTGGGAATCGAACCAGCAACCCTGTTGCTCAGAGCTCACGCTCTTAACCAACTGAGCCACTCAGCCGGCCCGGAGTCTGGCTCTTTCATTTGTCCCTGTGGTCCATGCCTGTGGTCCGTCCATTCTTTTGCTGGATAGAGTTTACTCTATAGACGGACCGCAGTTGACTCAGCAGCGGGTGGACATCTGGGCCTGTCTTAGTTTACTTGGGCTCCTGTAACAATGCCGTGGATTGGGTGGCTCATAAATAAGGAAGTGTACCTCTCTCAGTCTTCAGGCTGGAAGTCCAAGGTCAAGGCTCTGACAGACCTGCTTCCTCGGCCAGGGAGCTCTTACATGTACAGGATCGGTGACCCACTCATGGGGCTCCACCGACTCCCAATGCATCTCGTGGAGGGTAACAGTGGGCTGGTTGCAGCTGCTGGCGATAGGAATAAAGCTGCTGTGATGTGAACAACTGTGCTCAGTGTCATGTGCACAGAAGTACCCTGACTGGGAGCATTTGGCTGAATTGCAACACACATTTGACTTCATGAGAAGCTTACAGATTACTTGCAAAGCACGTTGCATTCTTCCAGCAGGGCCGAGGGTCCCAGTGTGCCCATGCTTTCCCCAGACCCAGGCTGGTCGGCTCTTTGCTTCTGCACAGCATCTGGTGGGTGTGCCAGGCAGTGTGG